GGCAGTAGTAGTACTGCATCTCTCTGTATCAGTCCTTGTTGAGTGCAGTGTAATGAGCAACCTAATCCTTTAGGTAGGGTTGAGGTAGTTCTATAGGTGAGACTCTACTTCATAGCCGTATTCAGGTATTATGTGCTTGCCTGGTGGTATACTAAATTAGCCATATTTGCATTTAAAACACTAGATCTTACTAATGCACCATGCTTTTTTTTTTAACAGAGAATATTCTTGGCTTTTCCCTGCATGGATTGAAACAAAGGTATATGTGTATGTGTTTAAGTATATTTCAAGTATATACTTAAGTACAACTTATTAAAAGTATACAAGAAGTGGTATACTGAAGTATTCTGTCTGGTTGAGTACCTTAATGGTCACTGAATATCTATTCAGTGGTTAAACCAGAATGGTGGGATGTGTCCATAGGGGAATCTCTTTCCTGCCCCAAGTTATAGCTGTCTAATGCTACATGGGAAGAGATAAATATTTTTATCTCCTCTCTTGGCAGTTAGTGAATTGAGTTTAGGAATATTTTTGTTTTCCAGCACTGAATTACTCATCTTGCTTTGTTAGGTTTGTCTGGAATTTCTTCGTCTTCAATAATTGCAAATTTGTCATTGTGCTGTTTACCACACTTTCCAAACAGTTAAATAAGGCTAAACAGTTTCCTTATAGGGAAGGCTGGATTGTTTTTAGAAAAATGTACTTGTTCTGCAAGAGCCTAAGGATTGCTTCAACACTGGTTCCTACGGTGTTAGGTGTCAGTAATTATGGAGGGTTTGATAGTAGTATAATCACAGTCTCACTTGCTTACTTCCCAAACTTCATCTAAATGAAAATGTTATACACCATCCAGAGTTAAAATATTAAGGAACTAAGGCATTACAATAAATGCTGGAGCTGACTTAGGGGTTTCGTCTGCGGGTTTTGCTGAATAATTTGAACAAGGTGAGCATTTTTACCGAAGCTCCTTTAGACTCTGGATGTAACATCAGCCTTTGGACAGGGTCAGGAAGACTGTTAACCCATAGAGCTGCTGGAGAATCTAGTGTTGCTAATTGTGAGATTAATCTGGCTGCAGTTAGTGCTAAAAAGTTTCAAATGAGATAATGAAATCTGTTTTGCTGAGTGCTGTATGGATAGTGTAGGATAGCTGCTGCCCTGAAACGCTTGTTCTGATGAGCAAGCATTTTGCCAATAGAGGTGAGCAGAACAAATGCACCATCTTAACAAGAATTGTCATCTGTAAAGGACCCAAATTAGTTTCAAAGATCAAGAGGTGGTCATAACTAGAAGAAAACACCAAAGTCAAAGCAGGACAAAAGCCTCTGTTAGATACCAGTAATTCAGACAGATACAAATCTGTTCCAGGTTCTGGGGAACTTGAGAGACTTGCTAAGATTTACAAGGTACTTAGTGCAGGAAGAGTAGTTTAACCAAGTGTTTTGCTCTGAACTGTTACTGTGGCAACTGTTTAGTTTTGAGACTTGTCTTTGAATACTTCATGCTCATTAGTGACAAGGGCATACGTAGATACTACCATTTAAGATTACTGTGCTAGAAGATCAGGAGATAATTACACTAACTTTCCTAAATGTAGATTTTTAGGCGTACTAGAATGGCAGTAATCAAACTTGCAAAGCTTGATTGGTGGTTCTGTACACCATGTCTTCAAAGGAAGCATAATAAACACACTGAACATTACAGAACATACTGAAATCTGTACAATGTCAAATCTAGTAGGATGTATAGCCAGTTTTCTTTGAAATCAAGATCTTTGCTACATGCCTGTTAGTACGCTCCTTAGTACAAACCTACTGATTAAAATGGTAACTGTCTGCTGTTGTTTTAGAATCCAAAATCCAGTCTTATTGATAATTACTACATTGACATTTATTTAAAAAGTACTGTGTTTCAAGTGCTTTGCTGCCTCCATTTGGAAAAGTGAAAATGAATCCAGAGCATCTAAGAAGCTAAGCTTAAATCATGAGCAAATTTTATTTTGGCCAAAACAATTATTGGGCTCAGTGCAAGAGGTACCTGGGTGAAGTGTAATATCTCTAAAATACAGATTATAAAAAAGAAGTTTTAAAAGCATAGACACTGCAATGTGATGATAAAGCTGCCTTCTTTATACTGACCAGTAATGAAACAAAATTAAAATGAAAACGTTTCCTCATCTAGAAGGTCTTGTGCATAGAAAAACAAAGTCCCTCTTAGCATACTGTTTAACTTCTTGGGGTGTGGCAAGGAAAGAGAATTCTCAACTGAACAAGAATTTGTATGTTTTCCAGTGAAAAGTATTTTCCATGGCAGTGAGTCATACTGTAACTTGAGGCTTTCTTCAAACTATTTTTTTGTAGCTAGTTTGCTGTAAAAGTCACAAGTTTCCAGAGACTTACTGCGTGGGACTTGCCAGGGTTTAAAAAAAAAAATTATAATCTTGCTGCATAGCAGTGACTTTCATTTGCTTATGTATTAAGAATCTTTAAAAAACAAAACAAAAAACCAACCAACATCTGTGTATACAGTCCATTTTTAGACTCAGGCTATTGAACGCATAGTAACACTGCCGAAAGAGCCATACGAATGCACAGCAATACTCTCTTCCTGCCAAATTAGGAAGCTGTCAAACTAAATTTCACTGTTGTCCAAATAGAATATAAATGAAGTCTTTTATCTTTGTGCATCCCCTTGCAGATGGAATGTACAGCATTCTCAGATGCCTGCTTCTCGGCAGTCCTAACAGCTTAGCACAGATAACTTCCCGGTCAAGAGGGTGGGCCTCCTGTAGAGTAATTACAATTCCTGGAAAACTGTAACTGGCCAAATCGTGAAAAGGAACGAAGTGTTAGCACATCTTAAATGTTAACCGCTCATGCCACAGAAGGGAAAAAATCGTAACACCTATCGGGGAACCTGGAAATCCACACCTTGAACTATGCCTGACACTGTAATGAAAGTTTTTAGCAGATGAACTGGAGCAAAGTGGCTAGTGGAGTCAGCCCAACTCTCAGAACTGACTAGTCTCCCACTTAAGATAAAGCCAGCAGACAAGCCATTTCAAATAAAGCTGTTCAAAAGGCTAGAAAAGAAGCTAAATCTTGCTCAAAAATATGAAGTTGTCCTGAAAAGGACAGTTTCAGCCTCAAGTCTAAAAGTTTTCCCTATTCTGGTCTATGTACATGGGTGACAAACAGGCACCTCAGCTGAAAGCCTTTCAGTCCTTTGTTAGTCTTGAGGCTTTTTCCCTAGCTCCCTTGGTATGAAAGTTTAATATTTATTGCAGTAAAGTTTATAGTAACCGTTGACTGTTATACAAGGAAACCGGAGATGTAACTGTTTGGCATGTGTTTGAGCCTTCTAGTTAAACTGTTGCTTGTTCACCTTTTCGGATGCCATCTGCAGTATGACGTGCAGAAGAGGCTGCTCCCTCCTCCTGTATTTTGCTTCCCTGTTAAAACTGTACAAAATAACTTTCCCTAACTCTTTAGCCCACTGCTGCTTTCCATATATCAATAAACGACATTTTGCGTGCCTGCGGGAGTATAGTTACAGCAGAACTGCTTTGTGTATGCAACTTGAAGTTTGAATAAATGCATGGGTTGAATAAATACGCAGTGACCGAGTTCAGCGGGGGGTGCAGGGGCAGAGTTCATTGCTGCCCAGCGTGGATCGGGGCTTCAGACTTGGCGAGCTTGAGCAATGCTCAGATGAGACCTGTCCCCAGGGTACCTGCTCAACCAAGAGGGATCAGTGTCCCCGGGCAGGACAGCCGGTACCAAAGGTGGTGTTTGCTCTTGCTCAGGGCTTGACAGGAGGATAACCGCTCCTCTGAAGGACCAGAGTAAGAAATGTTAAAAAAAAAACACGTGTATGTTGTAACTTTGGTCTGTTGGGCTCTGATAGATTCCACTTAAATTTCAAATATTACTTCCTGTGAGAAGGTTCTTGGAAGGCCAGACATTAACACCTTACAGCTACCTAAATCAGAAATCAGTTAGTTTGCTTTTGGAGACCACCCTTCCCCCATATACACACTAAATTTAAATTCTGTTCTGCAGAGGCATGGTACTTTCTTTTACTGATTGAACTCACATAAGAAAGCAGCACTTGGCCCTCAGCTTTATTTGAGCAGCACCCAGTTCCTTTGAAACTGGGATTGTTTCCAGAGCATTCAGGAATGGCTTTCATAGCAGCACAGTGCTTTAGTTTGGATAATGTATGCTGGCCCTTTTTTCACTCCTGAGGACCTGAATATGGTCTTCTCTTTACATAATAGGAAATTTGCGGTGCCTTGTCCTAGCATCTAAAGGACACTCTGTGCCTGCTACAAACCACCATGCAACTTGGCACAACCTACAGCGAAGGATTTGGGGAGTAGAGGTGGGGATAATAAATACTTCATGGCTCTGTTATTTGCTTGGTGATGTAGGAGAAGCTTGGATAGAAGCTAACAAATACCTGTAGGGCTTGGGGTTTTTTTTTTTGCTGTGGCCACATGACTCTGGGCACTGTGTTGATCTTAAAGGTCATGTTTAGGCTTCTGTAGTTCTGTGTATGTGCCCTGTCAGTTTGGTTAAATATTTTCTACTCTGCAACGACCTCCAGAATACATGAATTTTAACTTGGAGTTCAATCAATTTATTGGACAGCTACAACCCATTTTTTTAGAAGGCTGGTAAGAGCCAGGCAGGTGATGGATCTCCCTACCTTTGTGTAATCATTTTCCACTCAGTTTTGAACTGCCTTAATGGCTGGGATAGCCCGTTCCGCATCCGAGCTGCTATCAGAGCACAACAATTTGAATTTGCATCTGGACCGTGTGTCAGCACACACTTGCAGTTTTGCTGAATGACTCAGAGCAGGGAATGCAGGTGTGGGCTGGCTTCCACGCGGGTGTGGGATGGGTGGCCTGGTCACGCGGGCTTGCTGGGGTAGAGCAATCCATCAAAATGTTTTGAACCAATTTGAATTAGTGGAGCGGCTTGCTGCTTTCGATTATGTGGCTGTGCCTAGCAGCCAGGGCTCTGAAGCTACGTGTGGTTTTGTTGGACCACAGCCAAGGTATGGCAAGGCTCATAGCTTAACGGGAGTTTGCGTTACTCTAGCAAAGAGATCTTGATTATGACCTGTACTGATAAGTTACTGTCAGGAACAGAGTTCATCTTGTATGTACAATGAATGAAGTCCAAAGCTAAAGATCTTACGGGATGCTGATGAGCTTTATCAGCCTCTTGAAAACTCTACTCCAGGTTACCTATCAGTTTGGCTCATCTTCCTCCCAAGGAATAGTCACTTTTGTTCCAAGGTTGAGTGCTGCTGTTAAACTACTTACTAGAGAATTGCTGAAGTCTTGATTTCTGCTAAGTAAAAGATAGATATCTAAGTAGGAGAATGGGGGATTGTTCTTTAAGCCTTAAAGCAAATGAGTTGATAAATTACATACTTGCGTGTTATAGATGGCTGGTCTAGAATTAACTTTCCCACTTTCTAAATACCTGTGAAGTTGTTCAGTGAATTCCTTTTCTTTTTTTTTTTCTCATGTGTCTTTTGCAGGTATTCGTTACAGTTTGGATGTTAGTGTGGATGAAGTGAAAGCCTTAGCATCTCTAATGACATACAAATGTGCTGTGGTTGGTAAGTGATAATTTTTCAAGCAAGGATACAATCTTTAATTTCAATCAGTACTGATCTAATTTACAGAAAAGCATCTAAAGGATTAAATTAAGTTTTAGACACTAATCTCTGACTAAAAGCTGTAGCAAGATGGGAAAAAAAATATATAGTGACTGAAATAATAATACGTATTCCCTCTGCTGTTACTGTAGGTACTTGTATAAAGTTACATTTTCATTTGAAAAGTCCAAATTCTGCTAGTTACCCCCTCCCGTAAAAGTACTGCTCTTGAACTCAAAGTATGACAAACTTGGATTAGGAGGGGGCTAATTTTAGGGGGAACAGATGGACGCTGTAAAGGATGATTCAGGCAGGGGAGCTGTGGAGAGAGAAGGATAAAATTCCTTTATAGGTCATAAAGAAGTATAATTCATACACAGCTGCTAAATTGTAGGGGAGTTTGGAGAGAATCTGCACATTATATATAAGAAAACAAAATACTTCTTAATGTATAAAGGGACACTTCACTTAGGACTTCCAAAGTAAAATTTTTTGAGCCAAACCAGTAAAATATAAACTGTAAAACTTATGTTTCTATGAGTGCTAAGTACAAGAGCTTGAAGCATAGAAAATTTAAATCATGAACTTCTGAGTTTCAAAGCCCATTTTCAAGCTGCCCTTGAAAGATTTCCCATTTTTATAGGAGTACCTATAGGAGATTATAGCTTACGCTTGTGAAGCCCTAAATGTGGCAAAACCAAATTCACTGCTAAAATCAAAGGTATAATTCCTCACACGTATTACTGATGCGTTCTGCCTTTATTGTTGAAAAAGTAAAATGATTTTCCTTTGCATTCTTGTAGATGTGCCATTTGGTGGGGCAAAGGCTGGTGTCAAGATCAATCCCAAGAACTACACAGTAAGCTTAATCATAGATAAAAATTTGGTTACCTGCAGTACTGAAGCCAGCCAGTTAAAAAAAGCTCTTCTAGGGCATTGTTGACCACTTAAAACTTCCTGCCACTTCTGCCTCTGTAAAGGCTGAATTTAGCTTGTGCATGCAATAGGTAGGAAAAGAGGTTTTAAAAAGGTGGATGTTTCAGAGGTGGAATACTTCAATTATTTAATTTATTACTTTCTTAAAGTCAGAAGACTGCAAATAGTTTGGAACCTGATTTTTTTTTTAAGTTGATACTGCCAATAAAGCCTTAAATTAAATTACTCTTAGAAAAAAGTTAATGGTTTTGTTTATTTTGACAAATAGTTTTATGCTCCATTAAACCCTTCTATGCGGTGTTCCAGTGTGAATAATAACTAACTTGGCTTATAAAAAGTTTACTGCAGACTTGCCTTCTTGCCCTAATTAAAATAACTTGTACAGAAAAGCATACTAGAATACGTAACAGATATTCTAAGCTTGAAACTCCTGTAAGGATTTGTGTGAAGTCATTCTACTGTGTTGATTGCACAACCAGCGGGCTGGCTACTGCTGTTGCTGGTTATAAATCTCTCACATAGGATATCAGATTTGTTTGCTGGAAATCTCCACCACAAGCACAGGTGGTTCTTCCTGTGCCACACCCCCAACTCGTGGATCAGAATGTACGGAAAGAAAGCCGAATGTTTCTTTGTGCTGCCCAAGTACCAAGGGTCTGCTAGGGAGGGGCATTATAAATTAGATAAATATATGAATCATCCTTTCTTCTAAAAGAAAAGGGCGTCTGTTTGTGTTTGGGCATAAGTTCTAGCAAATATTTGTAAACACTAATGATTTCTTGTGATATTTATTGCATTTTCTCTATAGGACAATGAATTGGAAAAGATCACAAGACGGTTTACCATGGAGCTGGCAAAAAAGGGCTTTATTGGTACGTTGTGCAATTTTACTATTAAAATTTAGGAATCCATTTTTTGTGCATTGGCAGCGTCCACTAGATAGCATCCTTAACTGTATTTTTGAGAGTTGTAAATAATTTGGGTATAGAACTTTCAGCAAAGAGCCTCAAAGAATTGAGTCATTGCATCTTAGTGCATTTTAGAGAACCGTGTCTTAACTTTTTTCTGGTGGCTGTTCTGCTACAAAAAGCCACAAAAGCTGAGCTCACAGGATCCAGAATGAATCACATTTCTCTTAGTGGTAGATTATAAAATTGTGACCAAGTTTGTTGCAATTTTAGTCTCTAATATCAAGCTCTTCGCTGTTACTGTTTCCTGTAGTCTCAGTTGAGGCTTTTGGCAGATATCTGAGGAAACAGAGGAAGGAAATAGAAGATCCACCCCAGAGAAAGTTGATGGCTTCACCCATGGCAACCACAGGCTGCAAGAGAAGCATAGGCAAGAAGCATAGGTGCCTGTTGTAACAGAACCTCAGCTTCTGTAGTGTTAGTAGGTGTTTGATTCAGACTCTCAACCCTGTGTTTTTCTGATAGCTTGCTGTCTGGAGTGGCTATCTGGAAGTCTCCTCTGGAGAAAGCTGAATGTTGCTAGCTCGACTTGTAATTATATGGAGGATCTTTACCTGGAGGAGGTTCTTATTCAACTGAATAATAAGGCCTGTAACTAGTTAAAGGTCTGTCATGTATTCCTGATGTCTAACTGTGCCTGGGAATGTATATCCATTTATCTGCATTTTCTTGCTCTTCAGGCAGAGTGTTTGTCATCTGCTCTTTCAGCCAGAGTGTTTCTCATCTAAATTAAGCTTCTGTATAAACACTTATTGATGTTACATGTGACTAGGAGAATACTATACACTATGCCAGCTATAGTGATTGTATAGTGACAATTGGTATGATTAAATTTGTCTTCCTTTTTGGCTCTCTAGTTCGTGCTATGCAGCTTTCACAAATCTTTTAAAAATACTTAGAAAAAAAACATGAGTAGAAGCAGCATTGCATTTAAAATGTTGCTGAGCAAGTCCCTCTGATCTTAAATAGGTTGGGCAAGTGCTATTTTTAGTTATCTAGAAAAAACAGACAGAATTTGCTTTTATTACAACAGATGTGCGAAATTTCTTTCAAAGGTTTATTTCATCAAGAAAGATGTAATGTCTCTTTCTTGAAGCAAGGGCTAAAATCAAATGCATGTGCTACAGTGCAATGACTAGGAACAGCCTATCTTCAATTGTTAAACTCACCCAGGAACAAAAAGGAAATTCTAATGCAAAAAAAACCAATTAGCATCATGGCATATAGAAATCATACCTAGATAGTGCCCTCCCTGTTGTTACAGCAATGATCGTCAAAAAAATATAAATATGCTTTTGGTGCATTATCTTACTCTGACTTTTATTGACAAACTGACCTTCATTTTAATGAATGGCTTGTGTGAAAGGTTGGAGGTTTTGACAGCATTGCACAAATGCGTGACGCGGCATCTAAAACTGAATTGAATCCAGAAGAATCTGTTGATTGCAGAATAAACTGAGGATTAAAGAGGAAAAAGGTTCTCCTCTGCCAAGCCCTGCACAGTTCCCAAGGGAATAATGGTTGAAGATAACTATTGATGTTTGATCCTTAGAAGCTGTTTTCACTGTTGCCAACAGGACCTGGTGTTGATGTGCCTGCTCCTGATATGAGCACAGGGGAGAGGGAGATGTCCTGGATTGCCGACACCTATGCCAGTACCATAGGACACTATGTAAGTTTTGAGCAAAGGCTTTCAAGTAGAAAAGCTTTCTTGGCTTGCAGAAATCCTTTTATCTAGAAATTTATTACCATGCTGCTTAATCATATAATTTTATTTAATTATGTGGATCTAAATATATTCTTGCAAACTGTAACAACTTAAGTGGTGTGAGGTTTTTAGGGTACAGTTAAGGAAAAATAGCTTTAAGGTTAATGTTTTTATACTAGGCTTGAATAGCTTTAAGGTTAATGTTTTTATACTAGGCTTAAATTAAGTTGGATACAATACTGATTGCAACTGTTCAGCAAAAAGAAAATATACTGTTTTTAAAGGTCTCATACTTAGTCTAAAATTGGTTTCTATTTCTACCACTTCCCTCTGGTTTTCAATAGTACTGTAATTACTAATTTAAAGTTGTTAAACAATTCATTCATAATAGTTGGTATAGTCTTAAAGTACTGAAATCTTTCTGTTTCAGACTACTGAATTTACAAGTGTTATTAAATAAATGCTCTGTTTTTTTGCATTCAAGAGACCATGTAAATTAAGTTCACATTATTGGTATAACCTGTAAAAGTATTAAAGGTCTCTGTGGTCCCCTAAAGGTAAGAAGTAATCAGTGTAAACTTCAGCAGATTTTCCAAAAAGTAAAGCAAAAGGACACTGATACAATTTATTGCCCAGAAGACAATAAAATAAAAGTTTAAGTTTTTTAAAATTAGTTTTTAATTATAGCCCTTAATTTGCCGTTTGTCCTTACGTTGCCGGGGTTATTTGTGCCTGTTTTGACTGTACCAAAAACACGACTGACCAAACACTTCTGTTGTATACTTTTGACAGGTTGGACGAAATAAAGATGTATTACAAGCAACTTATTTCTTAAGGCTGTACTGTCCATGCTACCCAAACTTTCTAGCTTGTCTTTCAGACGTTGTTTCTGCTACTCCAGCAGGTCGTATTTTGCTAAGGAGTCTTGCCATAGCTTCCTATTAGTGTGTTGATATGCTACACTGTCGCATGTTTGCCTATCTCGGCTCCTTTTGAATTGAAAAGACTCTTTCTTTTCGCTTTCCGCAGTCCCTTCCAACAGTTCCTCAGAAATAGAGCAGGGTGTACACCCCCAGTAATAAGGCATTAGAGCCACCCAACATGTATTTCTCTCTGGCATGTCTGTTCAAGACGTGCCTGGCTTTCCTGAGACAGCCTCTTGGCATAATACTTGCCTTGTGCTGTCCGATGCCTTTAACTAGAGGAGGAGGGGATGGCACAAGTTCTTCTAGATCTGAAAATACAGTCTAAGGTATCTTACTGGGGGGGTGGGGAAGGAATGCTTGAGGAATAGGCTGTGGCATGCTGATTGTTGAGTTTAATCACTTTTAGCTACAACGGTCTGTTAGATAGGGATATCGGTATCAAACACTTGCTGTTTATTATTCACATATGTAAGTGTTAATACATTATTTAAAATTTTAAATCTGATAAAAAAATTCCAAAATTATGACTTCGGAGTGGCAACTTGCTCCCTCAGTCATAACATCAAATTCCAACATTTAAGAAAACTAGTGCCTCAAAGCATTTTAAGTTTTAACATTTAATTCATTGCACTAAAACGCGTATTTCACTGTGATACAACAGCATTGTTGTATTACGACTGACACAGAAGGCTCACGGCACATGACCTGCTTTAAGATTTGCTGTCTTTGTTAGTAGTTCACAGATAGTTTTATACAGAAGCTTGAGGTTTCTTAATAGGTGGAAAACTAAACACTGATACAGAAGAAGATTTTTAAATGGCTGAATTTCTTATTTTTTCTACTTTGTCATCTCAGCTTGTTGTGTAGTCCTACACATACACGTTTCAATGACAAAAGAAAACAAACCAACAGCTACTGAGGATGAAAACACAATTTGAATTATGCTACAACAGCCATAGTGGAACTTATGAGTTATTGTGGAGAATGGTATAGAGAAGGAAAGTGGGAACTCTGACAACACTGCAAAAAGTTGAATAGCCTTTCAAAACCAGTTTGTAGAGGAAGATGTTTCAGGTAACTATCTGGCTGAGACACCAAGAGCAAAAATAAAGGTGATTAAGGAACTACCAGATATATAGAAGTGACCATGGGGAAGGAGGGAACTAAGAGGAGAAAATGACCATTGAACAAAACTGAAACTAACCATAATTCAGAAAACAGATGGAAGCTATGCGAGGGACTACATTCAATTGAGTGGAAAGATAACTTCAGCGAGAATTCTACAGACCTGATGAGTCGGTGTGGTTGCAGACAGATGTGTTCAGGGAGCTTGAAGTGGAAAGGAAAAGCCAAATAACAGATATAAACAGGTAGGGGAAGTCTGCTTGAAACCTAATATACAGAGCCAGGAAGCTGGAGAGACAAGGAAAATATTATTGCAGCGTGGAAAGGGGTTAAGAAACAAGCAAAAGTTCAGTGTCTGAATTTAGCCAGCTAAGTTCATAGACTATTATAACTATTATAGAAGTCTTTAATGCCTCGCCATAAGCCACTTTACAAGCTTCTCCTTAAAAGCCATAGTCCTTCTTTTTGTGCCAAGATGTGTTAAACAGTTTTTTGATTGACTTAAACCCAGAGTTTTTAGGACTTTGACATTGACTGTGGTTTGTATGTGTGACTTCAGGAAGACCTGGACCTGCCCTCACCTCATGCTCTGTTTTCTTGCCAAACCATGCAAGTCTTTAGTAACTACCATGTTAACTGTTCCAGAAAATCCGTCTTAAGTTGCTGATCACTGACTTATATATGGCTAAAGTTTTTGATTAAATTCAAGCTTTCTACTTTTCTGTACTTCCTGACACATCCAACTGACTTTTGGGACACGTGAAGGGACTTTAATAAATACATTCTTATGTATGGTGGGAGGCTGTATTTCTTCAAGTATTTATAAAACATACTTCCTCCTTTGCAAATGCATGAAGGCTAAAATGTAGTTTCAATCTGAAACAGAATGAAAACCTAAAAGTATATCAAAATGCCGGGCCAAGTTGTTCTTAGCAAACCACCACCATAGATCTTGTTTGTAGTTGATATGCCACCAGAGGGAGCATACAGCTTAAGGAGAGCAATGCAGCTACATTTTGGGAAAGTGAATTAGGAATTTTGTGGCAGGCCCAGCATGACTTTTATTGTTTTTAAAGAGGTGTTATCTTTGGCTTTATATGGTTAACTCACTATCATTTTCAAATAATAAATAGTTTTCATTTCCATTACGACTCTAGTTAATCTCCTGCCATTCTGCCTCCGCTTGCTTTTGTCTGCTCCTTTCCTTCCTCTCACCAAGCATCTTGCGCTCATGCCGCAGGCATGCAAATGCATTTGGCACAAGTGCTGGAGAGGAGGGAGCCTCCCAGTGAATATGTGGCTGGTGGAATAGAAACCCATCCGGCTGCTGGCAGACTCATTTCAGTGGATTC